CGATTTGCTGATTATTTCGTAAAAGTTTTCATGAGTTTGAAGGTTTACTATTCCCATTGCTGCTTCGTAATTCGTAGATTGAGATATATGATCACTTTAAATCCGACAAGGCGTATTAGCTGCGCCAACAGTTACCAGAACCTACAGCAGTTACTGTAATACTTTTAATAACGCGCATATTGTACATGATCTTATTTTTTCCGCTAGAAGTGAAGTTTGAGTTCCGGTTTTAACCAATAATGTGTCAGATTAAGTTGAGAAAATTTTGTCCATTTTTCTTAACAGCTATGAGACTTTGCAAAGCATTCAATTCATCTTTTCATTCTCTTTCTGATGGTTACATTTTGGAGAGCTTAATATTATGCTTTTAACTAGATGGCTTACCCGGCTCCGCCCGGCCCTATCAATGCTATAATTAAAATCTTATTCCTATCCTGTAAAACCTTTCATTGTGTCCACTTCTAAATGCAATTCCCTATTCCCGCTGTGTTAGTAATTAGCATGCCCACCAACCTCCCTCAGCAACCCTTAGCCCCGTAGCGCAAACTTTGCAAAAAAAGCAATAAAACCGGTAAAAGTAAGGATAATTCTGAAAACTGATGGCGGCCCCAAAATGTTTTTGTGATGGATCTTCCTCAAAGTCGGTACATGGGGATTATTAAAGCCGGTGATGACGAATATCGTAATCATTTCGCGTGATAGCGCCATTTTCTGGGTTTACGGTGGTACACATAAGAAGCTAAAATCATGGATTTCGCTGAAACTTTGAGGGGGGCTAATTGACATGTTGATTACGAATATCATACTCCTTCGGCATTTTGAGACGATTTCACTGAGTTATGGTAGGTGTACCGCAGAGGGGCGAAATCTCAGTTTTGGCTGAAACTCGGTCTAGGGAGGTTCGACCTTTTGACCACGTCTAAAACACTCTCGTTGCGTTTTGAGACCCTTTCGCAGAGTTACGGTAGGTACATGGCAGCGGGTAAAAATCATGAACTTGCCTGAAACTTGGCAGAAAATTACCTAAAGTGCTGTTTCAAGAATATTGTGCTCAATCCCCACGATAAAGGCAATTCGTGTGGTATAAAAGTTTCCCACGACCGTACTGCTTTCCCTTATAGGACCACCCGCGCGCAATACACCCTTCGGCGGCTTTTGCCTAAGCAAAAACAGGAGGTGGGAGATTTGCCGCGTGCGTTACGCGTTGGGACATGTTATCAGGATGGCGCTGGAGACCGCCATGCAAAACGACCGTTTCCCCATAATATCTCGGATCTAAATTGGCCCGAAAGCGAAAAAATGTCCATACAAACCCTGCAAACCATAAATTCACTATTGCGTTATGACAGCGAGCAAGCATCATATTCATAAGCGATATACTTGTGAACTGTTACAGGTAAGGTTTTGAGCAAATCTGGAACTTCGACCCATCTACACCCACCGTAACCTAAGAAAATGCACTGTCCTGCGAAATCAGCATGATATTCATGTTCGGCGCGTTAAATGACCACCCTAGACGAAGATTGAAGCAAATCCATGTTTTCGATCACATACCGTATAACCAACACAACTCTATGAAAAGGTCCTATGCAGAGAGAGATGATATTCGTAATTAGCATGCCGAATAAGCCATATGGACCGAACTCCAGCTGATTTCATGATTTTGACTTCCTACCGTACACCTATCGTAACCACACGGGAAGAGTTCTGCGGAGAAAGTGTGACATCTGTTATCAGCATGTAAAGGGCCGGGTATACTTCACGCGGTTTCAGTCGCGACGCGATTTGGCAATTCTCCAGAAGTCTTCCGATCCAACATTAGCAAACTGCACATGCATATGCATATTTTGTGTGTAAAACCTTGGAACCTCGAAAATTTCGCCCCCATAAAGTCCCTGGTCCCTTCCAAAGGAATCATGTTCGTCCTGCTCTTTTCCCTTTGGGCAAAAGTAGGAATTTTTCAGTGAGAAAAAAAACCTAAAAGATTTTTCGACAAATATCAAATTTTGTGTGTAAAACCTTGGAACCTCGAAAATTTCGCCCCCTTAAAGTCCCGGGTCCCTTCCAAGGGGACCATGTTCGCCCTGCTGTTTCCTTTTTGGGCAAAAGTAGGAATTTTCTAGTGAGAAAAAAAACCTAAAAGATTTTTCGACAAATATCAAATTTTGTGTGTAAAACCTTGGAACCTCGAAAATTTCGCCTCCTTAAAGTCCCGGGTCCCTTCCAAGGGGACCATGTTCGCCCTGCTGTTTCCTTTTTGGGCAAAAGTAGGAATTTTCTAGTGAGAAAAAAAAACCTAAAAGATTTTTCGACAAATATCAAATTTTGTGTGTAAAACCTTGGAACCTCGAAAATTTCGCAAAATTTCGAAAAAAAAGTCCCTGGTCCCTTCCAAGGGAACCATGTTCGCCCTGCTTTTTCCTTTTTGTGCAAAAGTAGGAATTTTTCAGTGAAAAACCGAAAAGATTTTTCGACAAATATCAAACTTTGTCTGTAAAACCTTGGAACTTCGTTTCGCGCCTATAAAGTCCCTGGTCCCTTTCAAGGGGACCATGTTCCGCTTGCTGTTTTCTTTTTGGGAAAAATTATTTTCCAAAAGTGAAATTTTAAGAGCATTTTCTCTTGATGGATGATGAAACATGGACTGTATGAAGATGTTGTCTATGAAAGTGTCAAACCGAAATCAAACCTCGTTCAAAGTAATTGCTCGCAATACCGCATACGAATTCAGAGCGTTTAGCAGTTGCACTGGTATTTTGACAACAACAGCAAAAAATAGATTAAAATCTTTCATTGCTCAACTGCTTTTTCCTGTAAGGGTGTGGAGCTACGTTTAATTAGGAAAGATTGCAATTGGTTATCGGACGATGTACTAAACTGCGCGACATAGTCAAAACCCGGAAAATTCGGCTATCGCAGAAACCTGATGATCACAAAACAGCGTTCCTTGAACAAATCGAAGCCATACCTATAAGACGATCTCGACCTTATAGGAAAAGTCTATAATGACAATTATTTTATTTGTATATTTTGCTATGCTGATTATTTGTATGTTGAGTAAAAAAGCTTCAGCTTCAATCAAGCTGACGAGAATAGGGAGCTTTGACTTGAATATTGGGTTTTCTGGCTTTTGAGGCAGATTTGATGACTTTTGTTGAGATGTGTGCGCACGATGATTGTTCTTTCCCAAATCTAACCGTCCCCTTCACCATAATTCATGGAATACTTGATTTTTTCGTCAAACAATCAGGCATTACTCCAAGATTCGAAAGAAGTTTTCCATAAAAAACTTGTGCGTGAAACGAATACGAAGTTTCCAAAAAGAGGCTAAATGTTCGATATTTGTAGAGTGAGGGTGACAGAAAGCCGCTCAGTGATATCAAAACTGTAATCGTCTTGCAAATGGAACTCAACAAAAGAGAGATCGATAGCTAGAGCGATTCCGTACACGACCATTCCAGCCAGGGTAAAGCGGGGGGTGCGGCACGCCGCAAGGGGGGGTCGTAAGGGGGGGTGGTAGGTAGGGGGGGGGGGGTCGTGTCGACCCAACGTCAAAAGCGGTTTCTAAGGGGAAATGACTGCAGCTAAGTTCTTAGATGTGCCACGCTTTTTCCCAATTACCTTACAAGGTCGAAGAGGTCCGAAACTGAGTAAAAAAATTGACTTGAAAGCAAAGAAATATAGAACCAAGAAGATATAGATTCAAAGATGATGAATCACTACAGTGATCGTGTTAGTACAATGGATTTGTTCGCGTGTACTGTTCTGTGCTGCCGCTCACACAGCTGGTTGTGCGTGAAAAACATGAACCCATTATAAGGATAAAGGATAACGGATTCGGCGTCCTCAACACCCTCTGCAGGCATGCGCCGAACGCACACACTAACTTCATAGTCGTCTATTGTATGTGTGCAAGCCTATTACATTGACTTGCACACTTGTACAAGCTGTGTGACTAATTTGACTTGATGAAAGCGCTGTTGAAATCCTGCAAAATTCAAGTTCAACGACACAAACTTGCAGATACCGTATGCCTACCGTAACCTACCGTACCTCTAATCAAGCATAATTGTCGTAATCCGCGTGTCGAATAACCCCTATGCGTCAAGTTTCAGCGAACTCTGAGGTCTCTGAGCAGTAAACAACCTTGTATAAAGCAGTAATTTAAAACATGATTAACTTCATCTTAACGGTGAGTAAGCTACCTCTCCTTGCACTCAATACAAAGCACTACTCCTTCTTTGTCCACCTCAGGAATCCCGCTTCAGAAGACCTCCAAACTATTGAATTAGAAGCCAACCAAAATCGCTTTTAGCTTTTGATCGCTGTGATTTCACCAAATATTACTCAGAGCTAAGAAGACGAATCAGGCTCAAAACATCCCTATGGAATCTACGAGGTTTAGGCTATTGATTCATATAAATATTGTCCGCTAAAAATGTTTTTTTGATATAGTTAATGGCCTGCGGCACCCCCCCCCCCTCAAAACCTGCGGCTGCCGCAGGTTTTGAGGGGGGGTGCCGCAGGCCATTAACTTACCTTCAAAACGCTCAAACGAAACCCTTTTTTACACTATTCTATTAAGCCATCCTTCTCCTCTTCGCAGTAGCATTTGCCCCCCCAAGCGCGCCCTCTTAGTAGAGATATGGTAGGTTTTCTGAACCCTACTCACCGAAGCACCTAGTCCGACAACCGCCGAAAATATTGGTGTACGGTAGGATTCCAAAAACTGCCATCACACCAAGGGCGGGAGCCAGGACAGTTTGAAATTCGCAATCAATTTCATACGATGTTTCTGTGTTCCTATGTTTTCTATGTTTCTATGTTTCTGTTTCTTTCTTCTTTATTGCAGTGTCTCCCTTTTTTTCGCTTTGCTCTCATTTGTAGTAGCGTGTCTTCTTCTTGTTTTGCTCGTGACATTTTTTTACATCTATGATAACTTGAAGTAGTCTAATAGTTGCCTTACTTGAATTACAAATCTTATTTATTCACCATTTTTAGTGAATCTGATGTATTTGTGGAGCACGATGAATTCCTATTCTCAAAAATGGTCTCGATTTATCGATCTGACACATTCCAAGTTTATGCGCTTCCGAATACTGTTCCTCACACAACTTCTGTTGTTGGTAAGTTTCTACTTCGTGTTGCTACGTAATCAACTTTTGTTTCTTTTCACCTAATAGATTGGTTTCTAATGTTTGCTGAGTTTGGGTTCATGGCGTGTCCTTGGAGTCACACCAAACGCTGAGGGCCAACCTCGCAAAGTCAAGATTAAGGTCAGTAAGTTTTCACCTTACTTTCAGATTCTGTAGTTGACATTCTTAAAGTTGAACATCAATTGTTACTTAAAATCGGATGAGATTGTTGCTTTTATTAGAGCTTAACGGCATTCTACCCATATCCTAACTTATTATTCAAATTCGATACATCGGGGCCCCGAGCTAAGTAGTTGCCCCAGTTCTGCTGCACTAGTTGAATTCCGAAACAAGAGAACTGATTAAGAGGGTAAACGCTGCGAGGAGGTCACCCCATCAACATGGGTGATGCAAAGTTAATGAGCCCATATCATACTTTAGAGTTTCTAATAATGTCGAACATTGTTTCACACGAGGAAATGATTTTGACTTTTCTTGGCACTCTGAATGAAGTTCACTTTCATGGACAACAGGTCTAGACCGTTTACGTAAGTGGGCTTGGCTACTTCTGCCGCGTTTACCTCCTGAAGCAATCTCCCCGCTTTGGGATACATCTACAGCGAGCTTGAGCAGTTACTTAGTTCGGGGCCTGGGTATGCTACTGCATCAGGATCTTACCAACGTCAGTCTCTTTGGTCGAACGTGCTTTAAGGGTTTCACTTAGCTTTCTATATGTATTGTGTCCGCATATGTTTTTATATGATATCGTTTTGCAGGTGCGACTGAATCCAAATGGTGTATTTGCAGTCTGCTCAGCAACCATGTATGATACCCAGATAGTCGAGGTACATTCTGACGAACCATACTCTAGTCAGCACTCATTTTCATTTAGGAAGCTCCTGATCAAGAAGAACAACCAATGGAACAGGATAGCACCTCTCAGCCACCAGCTGAGCAACCTGCTGCAGCCCCCGGAGCCGGAGCAGCAGCACCTCAAGGTGCGGCTCCAGCTCAGGGTGCTCCTACGGCTAACGCACCTGCGCAACCATCTGCACCGCCAAAACTCAAAAATAAGACTATCTCAACTGAGATTAAGATTGAGGAACGACCACCAGTTGTTTACGACATCGACAAGTACACACGCGCTGAGGTTTTTGTTTAATGTTTTAGAATTTTTTCTATTACTTTCTTGTTATTCACAAGTAAATCACCTACTTGTGTTTTATTAATGATTGTAGATGAAAATGCAAGAAGCTGATCTCCTCGAAAAGCAAAAGGCTGATGCTAAGAACAGTGTGGAGGAGTATGTGTATGATATGCGAGACAAACTATCAGATTCATTTGTCACCGAGAAGGTCGGTTATATTATGGCCGTTTTCGCTTTGTTGGTGCCAAGATGACGCTCCTATCGTTTCAGTTCTTAGGATGCAGAGGCACTTTGTTCACAACTGACTGCAGTCGAGGATTGGTTATATGATGAAGGCGAAGACGCTGAGAAGCCGGTAAGCTTCTTGCATCAAAACTCTAGCAGATCGCATATTTTGTTATTGTTCTTTTTGTAGGTTTATGAGCAGCGACTTGCCGAGCTCCGAAAACTTGGTGACCCTATAATTGAACGCTATAGAGAGTTTGAAGCAAGGAAGGTAAGCTTAGATAGATAGCAGAAGTGATGGTCAACCATATTGTTTCATTTCAGCCAGCATTCGAAGCTTTTGATGGGTCAATCATTCGTGTGCGTAAAGCGTACGAAGACTATGTGGCTGGTGGTGAAGCACACGCTCACATTGACAGTGCTGATATGGAGAAGGTTTGAGAAGTGTTAACTGATTGTCGCCACTTGAACATTTGATTTCTGAAACACTTTTTCTTGCAATTGATGAGTCAGCACACCGTTTAATATGAAGTGTGTAGGTGATCAACGCAATCGAAGAGAAGAAGCGATGGATTGATGATGTTCGCCATAGGCAGGAAAGAAGGGCTAAAACTGAGCCGCCAATCGTGTTTGCAAACGAGATCGCCCAGAAACAACAAGTAAGTCAAATGATTCCTTTCGTTATAGAAGTATTGTAAACCTTTATAATTTGCTCTTAAGAGAGGAGAGGGTATCCAAGTTATTTGGGGTGGAATGATGGTTGTTTGTACTATACTTTCCCCTCCCATTTGAGTTTGTTAATCTGCAACGACCACAGTGCTTTCCGTTGTGGGATACTGACAGAGTACCCGGAGTCTCAAATACCCTTTATCGGCATGCTAGCGCATATGTCATAGATGAGGAGTCAACTAACATGCAAACCTTACAAACATTATATCAACACACGCTTCAATCCTTCCGGTTTGGTCTCAATTTACCATTCTCGGAGGGTGGAGGATCTGAAGCCGCGTATTCACCAACCTTAGAACCTTGGGAGCGCATATCCGCATGCTCACTCAATTGCCTATATCTCAAAGTATGTGAAACATACCGTGTGCCACTGCCCCGTATTCACGAACATAATTCAAGTTAGAATCTACCTCTATCTAATATATCTTGAGGTTCAAGACAAATATTACCCTAGCATGGGGCAAGAACTCTTTACCTCGAACTGAGACATGAGCCATGCATTTGCATTAGCTCAAGCTTAATTTTATCCTGTGTCTGTAGATACAGATTAATGGCTCAAGGTGTGTGTCTCTTATGCTTTGAGATATAGGCAATTGTTTGACATGCTGCATACGGGTATGCGCTCTCAAGGTTTATTTTGCCTCAGGGTTCTTGATGAATACGGCTGCTGATTAGCTGAAGAGATCCGACCAGTCATAGCGGCGCCTTATATCACCACTCTTCCCATACAAACAATTCGAGGGTCTTGTTTGAGCTGTAATTATTTATTTTGTAGGCTTTTGAAGCCATTGTAATGCCAATTCTCAACAAGAAGAAACCAGCTCCACCACCACAGAACAAGGAAACAAAGAACGAGGCATCACCTCCACCGAATGGAACCCCGGCCGGAGATAATGCTGCACCACCGCAGCAAGCTGCAGACAACATGGAAGTTGACTAATACTGAAGGTTGTTCATACTATCGTGTTTGTGCATCAGGTGTTTCATTGCTTATTTATTTATTTAATAAAAATTGTAAACAAACTGTAATTACAAAAAAAATTGTAAATTAAACCTGGGCGTTGGTTATGGGGTGGAGGGAGGGGGGGGGTAGGGAATGGGGAGGGGGGTCGTGCCGAGGTCCGGCCTAAGGGGGGGGGGGGTCGTATCCGACGGTCGTGTGCCGCACCCCCCGCTTTACCCTGATTCCAGCTACCACGACACATTGCTGTTTCAACACTTAGCAAGTGCAGCAACGAAATCGATAAAGGTGGCCGATAAGTAATCGTAATTCTGAAATTCATTGGATCTGTAATCAGCATGCTCACGTACACGCCTGTGCCAATTCTCAGCCGCTTAGCTCAAGGCTGAAAAATCTCCGCTCCTCCCCGGGACCTTTAGTGCAAGCAAATCTCTCGCCGACCTAATGGCTACAGGCTTCTCCTCCCGTCATCATTGAGCGCCATTATATTTTCCCATTCCTTTTTCTGGAATCCTTCAGCAACTGGACCCTCCTTCATGCATGGGGTTAAGGATAGGAGGGACGCAGAAAACTCTACCGTCGCGCTTGAAATGATCGAGTGTATATTATATAAGAATATGCTTATCAGCATAAATCTAACACTCAATCTAAGTAATCCAATGTAGAAATGTAGCCCAGAGATTACCCTTACTTGACACTTACCAGCGCTCTATAGAAATGCTAAAATCGAATTTTTTAAAAATCGGTGTTCCTTGAGTTACAGTAAATGAACAAAAAAAAATAATCAAGACAGTTTTGAAGAGCAATATAGTGAATACAGTATGTCAAGAGTTCTTGCTTAATCCAAACAAAAATAACTTTCGAATATGGAGATTTCACAGTATGATATCTTTAAAAATAGTAGAGGATTTGCGTTTTATAATAGATATTTATGCACCACTTTCTATAGGTTAGCCACCGACAACGAGCCTTCGAAATGGCGTCCAAACGCGTTTTGAGTTTGGTCGCGGAGAGACTAGAAAGTCGTGGAGCAGGGCCCGGCACGAGGTGGGCAAATGCCAAGCTGGAGTTTTAGATGGAAAGCAAAGAGGATATCCTAAATATAAGTTCACATGTACATACACTCTCTCTAGAAGTTGCTACACGATTGACATGCGAAAACACGACCTTGCTGCACGTTATCTCAAAAAATCCAATTTTTTTACTGAGTTGTAATCAAAAAGTTTCTGTTACAGCGCACACATAACGATATGACTAAGAATTCGGGGGATAAATCAACACGGACTGGGAAAAGCATAGTGCAGAGTATTGTGGAAAAAATATGTGACTGAAGGTTGTGGCAAGCTTTTTTAAAGATTTCCCACTACCACAAAATGATAAAATGGCTCGTTTGCAACGTACAGACGGCGACGTGCCACGTAATTTGGTCTATGTATCCGCATTTGGACTAAGGAACGAAGTATGAAAAATTTTGAAAATTTATGTGAATGAGGAGCGTGCTTAATTTATTTCCAAATTAAGTGGGTAGTTGCTCACCTAATGCCCACCTGAGGTAGGCAAAACTTCCATTTCACATAATTTTTCAAAAAAAAATGTTTGCATAAATCTGTTAGATCAAGAGACCGAGATCAAGTGGGAAATCGCAAAAGTCGATAGTGGCAAAGGCGAAGTCGTTTCACCAATGTCCACCCATGCTGGGGCCCCGTCGCGGAGGGCCGGTAGTATCCCAAAAAATGCGTAAGCATTTTTTTACACAGCAAAAGTACATACGTTGCTTGGGCAGGCTTCAATCTTGATGGAAACAAAAATAAATCAGAGAGAAGTGCCACGAAAAATTCCCCTGTTGCTGCAGTTTTTCTACAAAAACAGTTTGGAACCAGGAATCAAACCTTGTGTCTACTTAGAACCTGTGACGCTTTATACAGCGACAAACAACGTTTTTGAGAAAGTGCATTAATGAGGTAATTTTTTTTTCGTAAAATAACACTTTCCTCAATTTTTTTGTTTTTGCATCTCCATACAAAACTGAACCCTAGCCGAGCACATTGTGGGATTCTTGCTATGTAAATAATGATTACACATTTTTTGGGCTAGCTACCGGCCCTCCGCGACTTTCTGTCACCAAGCTCAAAACGCAAAGTTTAGAACGCCATTTTTGAAAGCTTTGTTGTCCATGGCTAACCCATAGAATGCTATGACATCTATCATAAAGCGGAAACCTTTTACTAGGATACCGAACTGTGAGCTTAGGTTTGTATTTTAAGAAGTTATTGGTTTTTTTTTGAATTACACAAGAACTTTCGGGCCAATCTAATACTTTGTCGTTCCGAAAGCTATTTCCGTTCTTTCGATTTGACATAAAAACATGCGGAATAAAGAGGTGCAAATACTCCGTAAACTGTTCGACGCAGTTTTTCTTCTTTTTTCAAGCAGTTACGTTTGCGGAATTTGGTTTTCGGTTACTAGGAGAATTGCAAAAATTTTAAAGTCAAGGTTTTCAACATGCTTAAGTTTGCTAGATTTTCAAAATATTCGATCTCACCTTGTGGAAGAGCTGCTATAACAGATGGTAACATGACAGATGCAATTCAATAAATTTTTTAAGGGTTCCAGTCAGCTTTCCAGTATTTCTAAGATGATTTTTGTAAGTCTTCACGAATGCACCAGTTTGAGAAGTCTTCGGTCAAGAGTTACAAATTCTATTATTGTACAACACTAGTTTTCCGAAGCGGATGAGCGTTTATCACTTTGAGACATCGAGTTTCGAACATTTCGGTACGGCCATAAGCGCTTCTAGAAACTCACAATTAGGATGATTTCGTCCGCGAAAGCTCCACATCTCGGGGAGAGAAAACGCCTGTTAAATGGGGTAGAAGAGTTACATCGCAATAACCAAGTTGCTTGTCGGTTGAAGTTCTGTGAGGCTGGCTTGACCAAATAGAGTTTGTTAACATCAGAGAAGCAACACTGTAATTTTGAAAAGCCAGCCGGAGATGCCCAAAAATTTAGGGTTGCATTTTGTTTGCGTTATCCAGCTGTCATCAAAATTCTTACAAAAGTTTGGAATGAAAACTCAGAAATTTTTCATGCTCAAAGGCACCGTCCAACCAAAATGGAGTCGTTGAGATTTTGATGCCTAACAGTAGTGAAACTCCCAACTTATATTTATCCAACTCACGCTGGCAAAATTTGCTTTCGAAGCGAGAAAATTGCTTCGAAAATCGCTCGGATGACAGATTCGCCACGTTGGCTCCCTTTGAGTGGCCGTGACGGTCGTCCCGCCGCGCACCCAACCAATCACCGTTTCAAAGAAATCGCTCTGCGGCTTGAAAACGACGGTTTTTCGTGGTTTTTGTGAATTTCCGATTTGATATTCGGAATCAGGGGTATGAGAAGGCCCTGGAACGGCAAAACACGGAAGCCGAGAATCTGGGTGGACGGCGCCTTTAAGGGTGATAAGACCTTTAAGGGTAACCTTGGGTTCAAAATTTTTGCAATTATATTAGTAACCACAAAAGCAAATGATCCGAAGCCATGACTGTTAAAGGACGAAGAAGAGACTGTTGAAGGACGAAGAAGAAATTTGTCATAGTTTCAAAGTGTTTGCCTATGTTTTTTGTTTTAGTTTTTTTTTTGTCCTACTCCACGTGTTTTTATAAAAAAAAACCGAAGAAAACGGAGAGAACTTCGGAACGAACTAATATGTCGGTAACCATTGCTCACTCATTCTTGATTGTTGCAAATTACACTACTACGAAGTTTGGGATCTGTGATCGTTTGTAGTTTCCAAAGTTTTCACATATTTTTCGAGCAAGTATGCTTTACACTTCAAGGCATAATAGCAGGTGACGTAAATCTGGGAGTGGCAGAACGACGAAGAAGAAATTTGTCATAGTTTCAAAGTGTTTGCCTATGTTTTTTGTTTTAGTTTTTTTTTGTCCCACTCCACGTGTTTTTATGAAAAAAAACCGAAGAAAACGGAGAGAACTTCGGAACGAACTAATATGTCGGTAACCATTGCTCACTCATTCTTGATTGTTGCAAATTACACTACTACGAAGTTTGGGATCTGTGATCGTTTGTAGTTTCCACAGTTTTCACATATTTTTCGAGCAAGTATGCTTTACACTTCAAGGCATAATAGCAGGTGACGTAAATCTGGGAGTGGCTTATTAAGATGGAAGTGCAGTATCAGCGAAGGATAAAAAAGAGTTGGACTCTTTTTTTGGTTTTGCGCTGCAAATGATGTGCAGGTCTGTGCAGTAATTTTGTCTGTTTTTTCCACAAATTCGCACATATCTCCAAATAGATAAACAAATATGTTGAGCTGCATCCTAAGCAAAGTTTCTCTCTTTCCAACTGTTATGGCGAACGCTGAGATAATCGCCGAAGTTGCGACCCCTTCGTTTACCATATTCTGATATTTAGGATTTCTATTTGAGAGCTTCCAAAGAGCTTTGATAACCAGCAGATGGGACAAGTCTTTTAACTGCAATATTCTTAATATTTTGCTGTATTTGGTCCAAGTTAGTGTTATGCAATTTTTTCAGAATTCAATTTCAAAATCGCTCAGCAAAATGCTAGAAACGAAGTGCAAAAAGTTTTGCTTTATCTGCTGTTTATTGAAGCGTCTTCTAAAGTACTAAATAACAGATCAAATGCTCTTTTATTTTCAAACCTGGGCGTTTTGTGAAGTGTCAGTATATGCTGTGTTAGGCCACATCAGGTTTTTGGTGGATCTTTATTGGAACTGACGGCTTCGACAGTCTCGTTTTAATCAGAGGTCTGAACGAAGATCATAGGTTTATTCGAATTTGGGCAGTATACTGCCAGGAGCCTCCTCCCTCACCGTGCCAGTCTAGACCTACTCATAGGCTAGCAGCGTGAGATCATTAAGATTTGGAAACGAGCCCGACCTTGGATTCATCGCATTTCTCGCATTTCAGTAAGCAGTATCTATTTAATTTTTAGTACTATCTGTGCGGGCTTACTGAAATACGATGGATCGGTC